TTGATCTATTGCTGCTTATTTCTCTGAATTAATTTCACAGGTTAAACTATGAAATTTGATGCCCACATGGCTTAGAAATACTTGTAAATTTCCTGATCCTAACTAACCACGTTTATAATCTAGTATATACATGTATGCAAACATATGATCTAGTTGATGATTGAAATAATGTTTATTTGATATTAAAAACGCGCTTTGGTATTTTTAACTATTATAATTATATTAATTAAGTGAGAATTTATGTCCTCATGTGAAATCTCGGCGGATTCCGGTTTCCAGCATGGTGAGACAATTAAAAAAGGAATTAAGTGTATATTCATTATACCTAATCCTTACTAAGTTGATTTTACCTCATGGTGATATAAGCTTGATAAATCACTGTATGGCTTTAATTTAGATTTAGTCCAGATAATTCTGAGACTGGTTTTAGAGCTTGAAAAAGTGAATAACTCGGGGGCTAAATTTAATATTCACACTGTCGGAGAAGAAGAAGAGAGATGTATGGCCCATGCTTGTAATTATTTTTGTTGTATATCATTACTAGGAATATATTTCAGTTCTACAGCAGGTGGCCTTACAATTTTAATAATTATATTTCACCCCTCACAACTTCTAAACTCTGCTAAGATGTTATCACACATGTGGATTTTGATTTAAACTGGAGTGAGTGTTGTATATTTTATGTTAATACTGTGACGAAAAGCCCATGGTCATCTATGATTGTATTTTGACATCTATCCCAGCACCCAGTTATATTGATGGAGATTTGTCAATCCCATTTATTTTTAAACATGCAATGTACCTGTTATAGTTTCTGGCCCATGTAAACTCACTCCCTGATTCTCATTCTTTGTCCATTGAAATGAGAATATTGTGAAATGTGACTGTGTGTGTAAGCATGTTAACCCCTCAAAGGAGTACTAGTGTAAAGACATCAGAACAATTTACACTGATGAATGTTCTTTCTTATTGTGTGATGTAAACTCTTGGGCTAGAGAGTATTCAGGAAACTGATGTTTCCTAAATATTTCCCTATCAGAATTATTGACCTTGTTCTGTAAACTTTCCCATTCTGTACCAGTGAAGAATGTGAACACTTGTGATTATCCTACTCCATATGTGTGTGTAGTGTAACATTATATGAGAACTGGAGACACTGTTGTCTCCAGTGAGAATGTTCCAAACTGTTTGTATAGGGACTGTTCTATTGTTCTAGTTCCAGATGGTAGTTCCAGGTGGAAGTTCCAGAAGTAAATCCCAGCGTAGCTGAAGATGCCCGATTGTCTTGACTGGACTGGACTAGAAGATTCGCCCAGCCTGATGTATCTCCGAGGCTTAGCTAGAAGCTGACCAAAGAAACCTGAGCTACAACTAAGAGCACAAATTTGTCTACTATTATAAGGAACTGTTTCTCCACTCCAATTAATAGCTAGAATTTTCCAAATAAATGTTATAGTTTTAATGTTCCTACAGTTTTATGGAGTTTCATTTTAACTGTAATCATTGTGTCAGTGAACAAAAGCAAGTATAATTTAATACATTTAAATATACAATTTATTAACAGTAGGGAATAAGATGTGGGCAACCCCCGAATCCTCTCCTTTAACCAGCAAGGCTGGGGAAAATATAATTTCTTAGGATGTTCAATATGTGTGTTTCCCTCTGTAGATTGCACATAGTGCATTCGCTAGTTTAAAGCGAATTTACCCGCCACACTGGTACATACTGCAGGAGATCGCAGATTATAAAGAGGCATGATCGCCCACGCCCTCGGCAAGGCACCTGATGATGATGATGACACTATTCGTATTTGGCCGAATACTTGGTCCCGTTATTCGTATTCGGCCGAATAGTGATAATCACCTATTCGGTACAGCTCTAATAAAAATATAGGTCTAGCCCTATATGCCCTATTCGCCTAAAGGCGTTGAAAAGGGACCTTTACTTACTTAATTATAAGTTTTGACAGGAGCATGTCGTACAAGTACCACGTGGAAAAGTTAGAGACAGGGATAGGGAAGAGACTCAGTGCGTTGAAGGTGATGTCATCAGTAGGCATTGAACAGAGAATGCTTTACACACTCTATCAACGACTGATTATTTCAGTGATTGACTTTGATTTGGGCCACTTCGCGTTATCCAAGAGCCAAATATAGAAGCTTGAATGCAAGAAATATGAAGCCATGCGAGTCAGTTGAGTTGAGTCAAGAACTGACATCCCAGCACTAGGAGCATTCCCATACGCGCTCCGTCTTCATCTTCAGCAGCCAGCGCAGAGTTCCAATACTAATGGTACCAGTCGTAATCTTGCCTTTTCTCGCAGTGTAGTGAGTCGACCAGATCCATTGGTTATACCCATTTGCATCATTTTTTCTTTCTTTCTGTGATATTTTGTTTTGGTAACGTGTCAATCTAAACAGCTGTGAATGTAGAGTGAGAAGTGACAACGAAATTCATAATCTGTTTAAGTCATCAATGATCACTGGCATCATGAGAGCTAATAGACTGAAATGGTTGGTGCATATTGAAAGAATTTCAGATGACAAAGAAGTAAAAACTGTATACACGATGGAGAGATAACGTCTAAACATACCTGCAAACACTTGGTGTCGCCAACTGGAAAGAGAAGGCCAACTAGAGAGATGAATGGAGGCGGGTAATATCTGCAGCAATGAACCTCATGGGCTGGGAATGCTTAAAAAGAAGAAGAAGAAGAAGAAGAAGAAGAAGAAGAAGAAGAAGAAGAAGAAGAAGAAGAAGAAGAAGAAGAAGAAGAAGAAGAAGAAGAAGAAGAAGAAGAAGAAGAAGAAGAAGAAGAAGAAAAAGGAGAAGAAGAAGAAGAAGAAGGAGAAGGAGAAGAAGAAGAAGAAGAAGAAGAAGAAGAAGAAGAAGAAGAAGAAGAATGTGTATATCTGTAAAGTTGTTATGTGTAATATATATGTGTCTGTAAAACTTTGTTTTCATTTCTTTTTTCCACGAACAAGCAAATTAAACAAAGAAGATTTTTTTTTTAGTTGCGTTTATTACCTGGCAGACCAAACGAAAAATCAAGAAGAACTTTATACCTGACCAAACACATAAAAAAAAATTATACTAAGATCATTTCCTTGAATTTAAATGAATCAAAATTCATATGAAAAGCCCCACTACTATTTACATATGTTGTTACTAGACAGTCTAAAACGTAAAAATAGAAATGATGTGGCAAAAAAAAAACACAGTGTGATTTTTTTCAAGTTGAGACATAATTCTCTTCCCTCTTCTCGTTCCTTCTTTTACGCTTTGTTGCGCTATAGTCCTTCCTATCTCAGTTTTCTATATTTTCTCCACTTCCTTTGTATGTGTCCTACTAGGTTGGTTGTTGTACTTCATTACTGATGCTTTTTTGGTCATTAAAGGTATCTTTTTTTTTCACTGACTGAAAACTCTTTAGGAAGGTTATAGCTGGCTTTTCGTCAAATTCTAGGCTTTAGTCTTGTTCCAGAACCTGAGTTGTGGGTGCACGTCTATTTTCCACATGTATTTTTTGCAGACTCTTAGTTCCTTGCTCTTCAACACATGCACTTCAACTTCGAAGTACAAAACCCCTACCAGTTACCCTTTGTTTTCTTCTCGTTCCCCTAAAATGGCTTCACATGGAGATAGGGCCGCTGATGACACATACGGCTGTATTTCTTTTCTTTAACCTCTTACCCAATTCCTCGCCCCCCCCCCCCCCCCTTCCCACCCGACCTCCCGACCACTTTTATTTTCAGCTTCAAAACTAGAATCATGGACAGTTAGTAAATTAGTTAAATATTATTTTTTAGCTGATGTAGTTTTATAGACGAATAATGAGAATACCCTGGACAGATAAAAACAGTAATGAAGACATCTTGAAAGAAACAGACTCATGAAGAGAACTGATTGCCCACATCAGAAAGAGACAATCTACATCCTCTGGTCATGTGATGAGAAGGAAAAAAAAAAACTAGAGTACATCGTGACGGTAGGAAATTTGGAGGGAAGGAGAGGCAGAGGAAAATGGAGAGAACAGATGCTGGACAGTTTGATATCATGGCATAGAAGATCATCTGTGTTAGAGCTGATTGAAAACAAGAGTCAGAAGTTTGTGGATAGACATGACTACCAAAGCCACACGGCATGGACTTAAAGAAGAAGAAGAACAAAACTTTTCATAGCTTATTCAGTTTAAAATAACACAGTAAATGGTATGGCTATTGAACAATCATTTATTCATTATCCTATGATATTCATCGTCATCATCATCGCCATCATTATCCCCGTCATCCTGACGTGCGTAAAACGTCACCAAAAAAAAAAAGGATATAGGCCTGTTGAAAACTGCAAGACATGAACACACACTGGTCCTAGAGAGTGTTAGCAGGACCAGAGTGGTGGTGATGATGGTGGTCACGGCAGAATTAGAATGAGGGGAAGAAGAAGAAAATAATAAATAAATAATAATAATAAGAAGAAGAAGAAGAAGAAGAAGAAGAAGAAGAAGAAGAAAGAAGAAGAAGAAGAAGAAGAAGAAGAAGAAGAAGAAGAAGAAAGAAGAGAAGAGAAGAAGAAGAAGAAAGAAGAAGAATAAGAAGAAAGAAGAAAAGAAGAAGAGAAAGAGAAGAAGATAAAGAAGAAGAAGAAGAAGAAAAGAAGAAGAAGAAGAGAGAAGAAGAGAAGAAGAAAAAGAAGAAGAAAGAAGAAGAAGAAGAAGAAGAAGAAGAAGAAAAGAAGAAGAAGAAGAAGAAGAAGAAGAAGAAGAAGAAGAAGAAGAAGAAGAAGAAGAAGAAGAAGAAGAAGAAGAAGAAGAAGAAGAAGAAGAAGAAGAAGAAGAAGAAGAAGAAGAAGAAGAACTAGAAGAATAAGAACAAGAAGAACAAGAATAGTGATACTGCATTTACGGGATTACATCGCTGGCACCACACAGATCAACCACATATCCACTTTGGTCCAACATAAACCATAAACGTAACTGCTGGCGTTCTGCTTTGTTTCCATTAGCTAGTTTCCCGTGTCACCGATGTCGACGGTATTGACTGGTCGTCAATGTAAGTCCTAGGAGGCCAAACAAGTCAGAAACGATAATCTGTTAAGTTTCATTATTTTAAAGGCATGCTTCGTTTTTTTTTTTTTTTTTTTAATATAAAAAAAACCAGGAGTTGTTAACCGTTTGGCTCAGTACTATGGATATTGCAACACTTCGGCCTTGATTCCATGATAGATACCGTAAATCTGGGAAGAAATGTGGCTTTTTTGCCTACCCCCGGGAGTGAACCCAGACCACAAGGAGTTCGTCACCCGGTCACCGCACAGTCCGGTTTAACCAACTACGCTAGAGAGCCGGGCGGCATGCTTCGTTAAGTAGTGCAGTCGCTTCCTGCGATATGAATTGTAGAGCCTAATGTGCAGATTGGATTCTTTGTGAAGGTACATCAGTCAGCTGGGTAAGGAGGAAGGCGTTTTAAATCAACAAGTAATGTGATTCGGCTATATAACTTTGATGCCAACTGGCAGTACACCACAGCAAGAAAGGATAGACGGACAACTTCAGGAATCGTAGTTCTACCATGTACATGTGTTTTTATCTTTTCTGTTTCAATACTGTCTGCACTTACTACTTCTTAAGTCGTGGTCATGAGCCTGAGGATTTAGGGCCGCATGGCTAGTGCTGTCACCAACGACTGTGACGGTTAGGGGTTTCCTTTTGTCCACGACAGGACAGGAAAACGTCAGCACCTAATGGGGGTTATGTTATGATATCACAATCTACGTCACTGCATTTCGGGCATTCCTATGCGTGCTCAGTTTTCCGATGCAGCAGCTAATCCAAAGTACTTCTTCTAATTGTTCCCATGAGAAGCTGTTTAGACTGTCACCTATCTCGGCCTCAAAGACGGCATAGACGTGCTTCACCGTGCTTTACTCCTATGTCACTCAATCGTATTAGTGTCAGAGATTTCTCATATCCACTAGTCCAGTCCGTACAGCGTTGACGATATCTGCTTTGTCCATGATTCTTCCCACATGCCTTAGTGCAATGCCTGCCAGTTGGTCCGCTGGCTTATTTCCCTTTACGCCCGCATGACCAGGTGTGTAGATCCAGGTGAGGGAGGTTAAGTGCAGTTTTCGAATGCTTGATACCCATTCAAAGCGCATACCGCCTGTGCTATCTTCTGAAGCATATTCATGGAGTCTGATATAATTACTGCCTGTGTGGCGGTTTGCTCGGATACCCATGCTAGTGCTCTAGAAGCAGCGGCTATTTCCATGGTCATGCTTGACGTGGTTGTCTGGTAAGCGGCGCTGTCCTCTTGTATTGTTTTCCCCCATTCTTTGCGCCGTGTATACCCATGCTGACCGTGATCCTCGCTTCACAGATCCATCTGTGTAGATGATGATATCTTCTGGGCCTGAATGCTGATCTATCAGTTCCCTTACCTCTGTGTCTACCGTCGCAGGAATGTGATCCCTGCAGCACCTTCTGAGTGTGATGACAACCTTAGAGATGCAATGAATGTCTACTGATGTATCCGTCTATTCTTTTCCGTGACTGATCTCGTCTAGGTCACATACCTGCTGTATAAAATCCTCAGCCTTTGCGGCTATAGAGACTGGGGGTCGAACCCGGGTCTACTGTATGACAGCCCGACTTTGTTACCGCTCAGTCAGTCGCTACTCTGTGTATATGATATTCACAAGACATCAACGTGGCTGCTTCAGAATACTTCAAATAAGCGATTTTGTGTATTCGTGTAGTTTGCTTGATTTATATATGAGCTGATGAAGGCTCTATAGCCACAGCTTTAACTTTCTTTGTGTTTGATATGTTGTGAAGCTCGCTAATTTACTTTTCGTTCCGTTTTTTTTAAATCTTTCCATGACATGTATATGATTTATTCATCAATCAGCAAGTCCTTCACAGAACGTCGCTCTCTTCACGGCACGCCTGAAAGTAGCTAGCTCTCCGGCCCCATGTGCCTTCAATGCCAATGCTTCTTCAATGTCCTTTATCCATCTTCACGGTGGTCGACCCCTGCCTCGCCTCCACAAACTGCACCTTCCATCACCGTCTTTTCCAAGCCCCCCTGACGTTTGATGTGGCCAAAATACTTCAGCTTTAGAGACAGGATGCTGTTTGTGAGCCAGTTCTCCCTGATGTTCAACTCGTTTAGAATGTCTTTGTTTTTCCTCTTCTTGATCCATGGTTTATGTATATGACAGACTGAGAAAATAACGGATTCAATGGGAATCTCCATATACGAAACACGCAGATGGACACAATTTACCGCAAACTGTGCCTCACACCGACACCTCTAGGCACATGGGGCCAAGAAGAGATTATGACCTGATAACTAATTTCCTTGTTACATCAAGAATAAACAAAGCAAATCAAGCATTTGCCATTCTTAAAAATATAAGGAAGTCAACGGGTTTTAGCTTGAAGACAAAACTCAGAATATACAAGAGCAACATTTTAGGAATACTATTATACAACAGTGAATGTTGCAAAATGACAGCGGGAATAACACACAAACTTGATACTTTTCAAAATAGATGTTTAAGGAGAATTCTACGAATATTTTAACTAAACAAGATCACAAATGAAGAACTGACGAGGAAAAACAGAATGTGCATCACTGGCAAATGTTATCAAAGTAGGACGATGGGGATGGTTTGGACATGTTTGCAGAATGCATTGTGACACTCTGGCAAAAACAGCAGATGGGAAAAAAGAGACATGAATGACCTAAGGAAAACAAGGAGAAGGACAATAGAACGGGAAATGAAGGAATACCATGGGCAGAAAAGAGATCACTTGTTAATTCTTTATGTGTAAACAGCGATATAAAGAGGATATAGATACAGAATTACTTTTTTTCGGAGTATGTCTGGGTTCTGTTCTCGTTCAACGACACTAGATATTTATCATCTATTTGAGGCAGCTGAGTGGATAGAAGGTTTAGACAACAGCTGATGGCAACATTTATAAGACAAAAAAGGGGGCGAGTATAGAAACAAAAAGTGTCATTACATAGCCACAGAAGGTGGCCATAAATAGCCACAGGAGGTGGCGATTCTAAAAACTATAAGGCTAAGAAAAATAACCATAATTTGAGGAAAGAAACTATAAGAGGAAAAAGGAGACCATAAGACTAGGGAAAACATTAAAAGACGAAGAAAGAATCCACAAGACGAGGAAAGAAACTATCAGACGAAGAAAGAAACCATAAGATGGGGAAAGAAACTATCAGACGAAGAAAGAAACTTTAAGACGAAGAAAGAAAATATGAGACGAGGAAATAAACTATCAGACGAAGAAAGGTATTGATGGGTTATGTCTATAGCATTTAAATAATTTCACAGGACAGAACGGAATGAAAAAATAAATTGCGAGCACTTTATGACACTGCCGAACTCTAATGATAATGATAATTATTATGATTTATAAATCACTTACGATATGGTATCAATAGTTGCCTGTTGAAATCTTAATGGCTTTGCCAGTAAAGTATTGAATTCCGCTGAAATATAATAAGTCAGTTTTAGATTTTAAGAAATCAGAATAAACATCCCATTTCATTATTGTTTTCCTCATCTTACCATTGTTTCACATCTAACACATGCTGATAAAAGATGGAGAACAACTAAACAAATATTAGATAGACAGGAGAGGGGATCGATTTACAACAGACAAGAGAGGGGATCGACTTAAAACAGACCGGAGAGGGGATCGATTTAAAACAGACAGGAGAGGGATCGACTTAAAACAGACAGAAGAGGGGATCGACTAAAAACAGACAGGGGAGGGGGTCGATTTAAAACAGGAGAAAGGATCGATTTAAAACAGGAGAGGGGATCGATTTAAAACAGGAGAGGGGATCGATTTAAAACAAGGGAGGGGATCGATTAAAACAGGAGAGGGGATCGATTGAAAACAGACAGGAGAGGGATCGACTTAGACAGGAGAGGGGATCGACTAAAAGCAGAAAGGAGAGGGGATCGATTTAAAACAGACCGAAAAGGGGATCGACTTAAAACAGACAGGAGAGGGAATCAATTTAAAACAGACAGGAGAGGGGATCCATTTAAACCAGACAGGAGAGGGGATCGACTTAAAACAGACAGGAGAGGGAATTGACTTAAAACAGACAGGAGAGGGGATCGACTTGAAGCACACCGGAGAGGGGATCGACTTAAAACATACAGGAGAGGGGATCGACTTAAAACATACCGGAGAGGGGATCGACTTAAAACAGACAGGAGAGGGGATCGACTTAAAACAGACAGGAGAGGGGATCGACTTAAAACAGACAGGAGAGGGGATCGACTTGAAACAGACAGGAGAGGGGGTCGACTTAAAACAGACAGGAGAGGGGATCGACTTGAAACAGACAGGAGAGGGATCGACTTAAAACAGACAGGAGAGGGGATCGACTTAAAACCCACTTCAGAGGCGATTGACTTAAAACATACCGGAGAGGGAATCGATTTAAAACAGACAGGAGAGGGGATCGACTTAAAACAGACAGGAGAGGGGATCCATTTAAATCAGACAGGAGAGGGGATCGACTTAAAACCCACTTAAGAGGGGATTGACTTAAAACATACCGGAGAGGGAATCGATTTAAAACAGACAGGAGAGTTGATCGATTTAAAAAAGAGCGGAGAGGGGATCGATTTAAAACCCACTTCAGAGGGGATTGACTTAAAACATACCGGAGAGGGAATCGATTTAAAACAGACAGGAGAGGGGATCGACTTAAAACAGACAGGAGAGGGGATCCATTTAAATCAGACAGGAGAGGGGATCGACTTAAAACCCACTTAAGAGGGGATTGACTTAAAACATACCGGAGAGGGAATCGATTTAAAACAGACAGGAGAGTTGATCGATTTAAAAAAGAGCGGAGAGGGGATCGATTTAAAACAGACAGGAGAGGGGATCGACTTATGTGATGCATAACAGTAAACAACATATTATCGTTTTTGTTGTTATAATTAATATTACTATTATTGTTATTGTTGTTATTATAATTCACTTTCTCCAGTTACATCGGCAAGTTAGAAGTTTTATAAAAATACCCATGTGTATTAAACATGTTGTATAAACTGCTCCATTTGTCTAAGGTTGTTCTAAATGCCATAATTCCATGATTTGTGGTGTTTTTTCCTTGATATGTGGTAATTTTATTTCTGCAACCCTGTTCCTCAATGTCAGTCGAAAGCATTAGCTGGCCAAACCATATTATCTATGGCTTGTATACAGTTTCAACCGTTTATATTTTTTTAAAAATCTTTGTCAGTAAATGTAAAGTTGTCCTTTAGAAGGTGTCGTGTAACTTCCTCCATCTGGCTGCCAGTGAGCGGTCTTTTCTGTTTAGAGTCAAAAGGATTAAATGAAAAACATTAAAACAGAAACGGTTGCCCTGGAGTCGCGTGCATTACATAATAAATCTAATTCTTGGGTCTCTGTGACGAGTGAGGCAAGAAATTTGCATGGTGTTCTGAAGGTCGTGGATTGTTTCAAGGACAGTATGTATTGTTTCGTTCTACAAAATAGCGACCCGTTTTTTTTATTTTTTTTATCGTTTTTGTTTCTACTGAGCCATGACTTCGCTTTTTGATCGGGCGTATATAACTTAGATCACATTATAATCAGTTCAAAGGCAGCGCAGAAATGTGTTACACTGCAAGGTATTTGTTCAAGACCAGTGTTGTGATTGTGCGCTATCTTTTAATGTGATCGACATTATGGTAGGTTACTGACAATACTGACCTCATCGACCAGTCGTATGTGAAAATATCAGTCCAGGGATCTGGCTTTCGTGACGCTGTGTGTGCGATTGCCCTGAGATCCTCTTCACTTGTTCCGCAGATGTGTAATAGTGATCACCAAATTAAAAGGAAAATAGGCAGAAAACGACAATCGAACCGAAAAATAATCAAATAATAATACGTGCTGGGACCAGACAATCACTACTGAAATCAAATTTGAAAGGTCGAAAGCATGTTCGCATTCTATTTTGGAACTGTGCCAGTGTCACACAAAGAAAACATTTCCTAGACAAAGTAGTAAATAGTGCCGACGTGATTGTTCTGGAAAAAAAACACTCCTTGGCGACGATACACTGAAACTCACAGCTTTTTGTACGTTCAAAAACAAACTACATCAGAGATCATATCGAAGCCCATGTGGTTGGTTAGCAGGCCTAGATGGCAAGATGGCAGCCTTCAGTTACAAGCTTTTGCAATACGATTGTTTTTGGGGGTCCCAACAAATGAAAGCCACATTGGATTGTAATTATGCAGAAGAGAAACCACTCTCCGCTCTGTAAAAAACATCATTCCACCTGTTTCTCATTTGGTTGGTTGTTAAAGATTTGTAGCGTCCATTGCGAACACACCTTCACATACTCATTTTTTTTAACTTCTCTGATTGACACATCAGGCCGCGGAGATGTGGTTTTACAGAAGAATCCTTAGAATTCCTCAGACAGTTAACAAGAGCAACCCAGATGTTTTGAAAAATGCAAATGCTCGAAGATAGCTTATTACTAACATCAGATAGAGACAGTCATCATTTTTTGGTCATGTTGTGAGAAGAAAGAAGATGGAACATGTGATCACTGGAAAGATCTGTGGAAAAAGAGACAGTGTGAAAAAATTGACAGTTTTTGTATCACTGCATAGAAGGGTATCTACACACGAACTGATACATTTGGCTGCAGATCGCAGACCGCGGAGAGATGGAGGGGTGTAAACACACGAACTGATACACGTAGCTGCAGATCGCAGTCCGTGGAAAGACATAATCACCCACGCCAGTTTGCAAGGCACTTGTGAATTGACACAATGCATTCTTTCACCAGCGAAAGTATGCTTTGACAAAGGTTCATTTTGTTGTTTGTTGTTGTTTTAGCTGCTTCATCCATTCTGGCGATAATGTCTTTTTCTGTTGCAACAAAATGCGTTTGACCCCGCAGTGGAAGATCTTTTGAGAACTCACATTTTTTTCAGAAACCTTTTTGCCCAGTTTGTCACTGTTCTCTTTGACACACATCCTTTAGATAAAAGAAGCCGATTCACCACTTTGAGCTTGTTGGTACGGATTTCGGAGCAACCCTGCTATTTTCTCAAAGTTCAGAAACAGAACCTATGCATTATGAGACCATTAGCAGGTGTAATTTCCTTGATTGGTCAAAGGCAACGGTCCTGTGGTGTTCTTTGGACAACAGGATTGTCAGAGTTGATGTTTCAAGATTCAAAATAAATGACAGGGACATCAAAAGAGACATCAAACTGCGGTACCTGTAAATCACATTTGACAGAAGTTTGTCTTTCAAAGATCGCATAGAGGGGGTTGTTACAAGGGTCTAAAAATGTTTATCACATGATCGTGTTTAAAGCTCACAGTTACGCTAACGCACCCCCAACACAAACATTAAGTCCTCACCTTGTATTTGTGCAGCTTTTGATGCTTGATGGACTTTGTAGATGTAGACACAGTTGCCGACTCCTAGCAGCAGTACCACGGTTCCTATAACGACAACTATAGCTGCCGGACTCGCTTCTTCTGATTCTGCGTGTGAAAGGAAAATATCGAAAGTAATCCACCGACATTTGGAGAGAGAAAACAATGAGAGAGAAAACAATGAGAGACAAAACAATGAGAGACGAAAACAATGAGAGACAAAACAATAAGAGACAAAACAATGAGAGACAAAACAATGAGAGACAAAACAATGAGAGGCAAAACAATGAGAGACAAAACAATGATAGAGAAAACAATGATAGACAAAACAATGAGAGACAAAACAATGAGAGACAAAACAATGAGAGACAAAACAATGAGAGAGAAAACAATAAGGGACAAAACAATGAGAGACAAAACAATGATAGAGAAAACAATGATAGAGAAAACAATGAGAGACAAAACAATGAGAGACAAAACAATGAGAGACAAAACAATGAGAGACAAAACAATGAGAGAGAAAACAATGAGAGACAAAACAATGAGAGAGAAAACAAAAACATTCATAAAAATCGCTTTGTACGCTATAAGCCTACTGTTTATTCTTTATATATCCAGTTCACTAAAAAAGATGCATAATAATTTTGCATACAGTAAACTAGACACATTAAAAAAAAACTGGATATACTATCATCATCATGTAGCAAGTCCTTTGCAAAACGTCGCTCTCATCACGGTCTGCCAGAAAGAAACTCGGTTTCTGGCCAGCTCTCCCGCCTAATGTACTTTCATACTCCAGGAGTCACCTATATCCTGTGCCCATCTTCGTGTTGGTCGGCCCCTGCTCCTCCTTCCTGGTACCATGCCTTCTGCTATTTTTTTCTTCCAATCCGTCGTGTCGCTTGATATGACTAAAATATTTCAGCTTCCGAGAAAGGATGCTGTTTATTAGCCAATCTTCTTGATGTTCAGATCTTTTAAAATGTAAATATTTCTCCTCTTCATTGTCCAAGATATGCTGAGAATCTTTCTATAGCATTTCAGCTCAAGATCCCCTATTCTCTTTTTTAAGGACTGGGAGACAGTCCACGACTCACATCCGTATGTTGCTACAGTGAAGATGCATGCTCTCAAAATTCTAATTTTGATTTATTTGCTGGTGCCTAACCATGGACTTTGAAGGTATACTATTCGCTTTTATTACCGTTCTCGCAATCAATACTCACTTAGCAAGAAGTTTAAAAAAAAATGACTATATGATATACTAGATACGGGGAGCCATCTTTGTGCCCCGGCTAGATGCTGGTGTGTTAGTCGGAAAGTCGTGGGCTCGGGTCCCAAAGAAAGTGGACTGTTTTCACAAATGACCTTGGCTTCCTGTTGACCCAGCCTTGAGTGGGTACCAGGTATAGTCCTGGGAAGTAAAGACAGCAGGTGTGATGCTGACCACATCTCACACCAAGTGCCGATTTGTCTTTAAATAAAGCTCTAGCCCAGTATGCCCAATGTGCCTGGAGGCGTGGAAGAGGTTTTTTTTTTAAATATTAGACACGAGATTTTTTTCAGAGATATTTCTTTATCAGTATTTTACTGTATGTATACTTTATCATAAATGGTGGGATTAGGAATAAATACAAGGAAAACTAAGATCATGACAAACAGTCCAAACCAACAACCAGTGACCATAAATAACCAAACACTTGAAATTGTAGAACAGTTTACAAATCTTGGCAGTGTGGTGTCCCTACTAGGAGGGACAGAGGAAGACAATACAGTCACGCCTGAACAAAGCTATAGCTACTTTTGGAACGATGAGACAAATCTGGAAATCCAACAGTTACTGCAGAGGAACGAAACTCCGACTCTAAAAGAGCATCATTTTGCTAATTCTGCTTTATGGAGCAGAATGCTGGAGAATGACCAAAAAAGGATGCGCACAAGCTACCACCACACATGTCTAAGTAGAATTATCAAAATTTTGTAGCCAGACAATCTCAAACAATAAACTACGTCAAGTAACTCACCAAGAAACTCTAGACAGTATGATGACCAAGAAAAGACGGAAATGGCTTGGCAACGTCATGAGAATTAATCCTGATATACCTGCCAAAACAGCGATCACATTGATACAAGAGGAAAAGAGAAAAAAGCGGAAAGTGACCTGAATGCGGCATCTCTGACTTGGAAAACTGCACTGAAGATTGCACAGGACAGGAAAGCATGAAAAATCCTCTCTGAAGCCTCATGTGCCACTAGGCATAAAGAAAGAATTGATACTTTATCATATAGTTTAATGGACACACGAGATTAACTACATATCTTTACAAAATGCATCTGCATTTGAATACCACCCCTATTAAAAGAGATTTTCTTTTTTGTTGTTTTTGCTTTGCTGGAAAAAAAATCGTCCCGTTCAATCATCTTCCGTGAAGGGGGAGCTTTATGTTATAATTGTGACTAGGTTATGTGCACCACATAAAACGGCTTAGCATTGTACGCCACCAAGAGCCCTGCATAGGACTCCTACGGTGTTGATGCGAGGAGACAGGCCAAAATACTGTCACAACAGGCGAGTAACGTCGTCTGCCGGCGAGCCAATGGGCGGCCCGTTCGCCGGTATAATAAAAGCGTAGCAGTCCCACATATATGTGCACATAATAGGTACATCCAATTTGTAATGTGGCTGACAGAGGCTTATACTTGTGATAAGGTAAATCCATTATAACATATTGTTATTTAGGCGCTCCTCGCATTTTTTTTTTTTTTTTTAGAAAGTGTCATGGAGTAAGTACCATAATAATATATGATATAGCGTGCATATGAAACATATATTTATGAATTGTGGACTTCGAAAGTGCGGACTAAAAATATACGTATTGAACATATTTTTATACCATACTGCATGTCCCGTGCAGCGTCCGTGGATTGAATTTCAACGTACCGCGATCGAAACTCACTGCTGGCTGTGTGGATTTTTATCATGGTATGGGGCGTCGCAGATCGATCCAGCCTTAAATGGGTACAAGGATGTATGTCCTGGAGAAGTGAAGACGGCTGGCATAATGCTGACCACATTAACCACCTAGTGCCGATTGGTCTGTAAAAATGTGGGTACTCTTCCCATACACCCGATGCGTGAAAGGACACCTTTACTTTACTATATTGCATGTCACCCAGAAGGTGGATACCTGTGTTGCCAGTAGCAGTCTGATTATATGTCCGTCTGGCTTTACCTCGAGAATCGGCCTGATACCCTCGTCACTTGTCGCTTCTTCACTCTCACCAGACTGAAGATCAATTTGCTGTTTCGAATCGTACACGTGCTCAAACAAGACCTTTAACACGTCTGCCTTATCACGCTTCAATATTCCCCCAAATGGTGCTAATCTATTTGCCTGTTCATTTCCCAACACATCGGCATCCCCCGGAGAAAAGATCAAGACCACGCTCTTCACCAATTCCTCTTCTCGCTAATGTTCTGCAGGATGCAAACCTGGCTGGTGGCGTCCTCAGGCCTGAGTCACCCACGACTTCCATTTTATCAGTCGCAGACCTTTAACTGCAGTCCAGCGCTTTTCGCAAAGAGTGATTTGTATCTGCTTTTATTCTAAGGTATTACTTCGTCTGTAGCACCTTGAGCCTACTTGCAAACCAATGATGTATGGTATGCACACTACTAGAATGTCTTTGGTAATCCTAAAATTACCCGCATAGCTGTGGTCTGTATGCGCTCTAGTTTAGCCATTTGACTCTTTGAGACATCGAGCAGTCCTAGTCCGTAATAAGACACTGAGAGGACTAAGCGCTGATTTAAACTGAAAAGTATTCTCTGCTCTGTGTCCATTACAGCCCTAGTCTTAAGTGCATTGAGTCCTTTTTGGCATCTTGTCACAACTGTTTCCACATCGTCCTTGAAAGGTTCCTGTCAAATGTGATTTCTAAATACTTCAGGTTGCTCTCTCTATTGACGCTTCTACTATATATCGTAAGACTTGTGATAGCAGCTTTAACCTTCCTGTTGTCTTAAAAAAAAAATAAAAAAAACATCAGCAAACATAAGCTCTTTTCGGTGAAAGACAGCTACGAGAGTACACCAGCCACTTTGTCTACTGTCACCTGTAGCTCCTGGACCGTTTGTTCCTTATCTCTCCCCTGCCGAATGCGAAAATGTCATCTGCAAATGTCAGTATTTTTTCCAGCCCCTGACGCTTCTGGGCTTAATTTACACTAAGAACTGTGGATTTTATTTGGAAGGCTTTTCGACTGTGATCAGTCTGGTTTGTGTTGCGAACTGCAGATTCAGAAAATGACGAGTGGCCTGTTCTCACAGAACTGATGTTGTCTGTTGCGATTAACTGTGCGTATAGCTGCCGATCTGTGTACTACTTCCGTCAACGATGAACTGCACTTCTAGTGGCCAACACTGCGATGCCGCTCCCAACGCCTGCCCTATGCATTGACTGCGTGTGTCTGAGAAATGCTGTGTGGTTTTCACTGACACTGGAACGGAACAACAATGGAGTGTCACACATGTGGCCAAGCTGGATCTACGATTAACTAATAACTGATTTGTTTCCCATTTCAGAACCTGTATGGTGATTCTCTGTCGGTTTTTCCCATGATGAGCCCAGTATATTGCCATCTGCTTTCTCTTATAACGGATGATAAAAGTGTTTGCTCAACATTAATCTAATAATTTTTCTTGAATTCGTCAATTGACGATTCACTAATTTCCCGAGGCATTTGTTTCCATATGCATTTGTTTTCAGATGCACTGTCTCTTTTGTGGCTCTTCAGTTTGTAATGGCAAATGTTAAGACTTAAATACAAGTGGAAGTACAACATCGTAAATTGTTTTTGAAATTAAATAGAGATTAGATAACTCTGCATACAATATTAATTCTTCTTCTTCTTTGTGTTTATCGGCTAAAAACTCCAGCGGAACGTCCTGGCTGTTTTTCCACGTCAGGACTTTAGTCTTGTTCCAGAACTTGAATATTGCGTGCACATTCGTTTTACAGATCTGGCTAATTAGTTGGCAGACTCTTGGTCCTTTCGAAGGAAGCACCCCTAATTAGTAAACTTTTACGACCTGCTTGTCAAGTTAGGTGAGCAGTGGGTCTATTCTTTCTGTCCCCACAATGGGACCCCGGAACCCACAAACCCCCCACTAGGCCAAAACTGATTAATCCATCAACTTACTTGACGTTGAAGATTGTATTAATACAACTGCCTCATACGTGTACATGTCAAACTTGTTGGAGATTATTAGTTGATATTTTCCTTTGAGACCTGTTAATCTCGACTTTCCACTCGTGTCAATAATAAGTGTTGCAGAGCTGTTGTTTTCACACGGGCCATTAAGCAATGTTTGATTGACAATACATTTGCCATTTATTAGCCACCTTAAAAGTTCCATAACAGAAAGAATAAAAACAAATTCCAAATTATAACACGTAGCAACCACAGAATATAAAGATAGCAACACTACGAATTAGGTGATAAATTTAAAGTGCAAATACTGAATATCGAGTATACAGTATCAAGAATGTGAGTACTACATGCAAAGTATACACGTATATATGTCAGTCATCATCATCATCATCATCATGAACCACTTCTTGTCGTGGGGAGAAATAATTTGCGATCCAGTGCACGTTGACTGCCACTGGCTATTGTCATGCCGTGAAGGCGTAGAGTGTTTTTAGTGTTGTCGATCTATATTTTCCGCGCCGTCCTCTTGCTCTTGTAGTTGATCTTCTGAGATGTAGTGCTTGTGATGGTATTTGATCTTGCTGCATTCTAACGAGATGGCCAAACCACTTGATCTGCTGTTTCTCGATGCATTTACTACAAGGTGTCGTTCCCACAATTTGTCTGATAGTTTCATTATTCACTCGATCTCGTATGGTTAGGTTGGCTGCTTTTCTCAGGCACCTCATCTCGCAGGTGGTGATTTTGCGTATATGGGCTTTAGATAGTGTCCATGTTTGGCACTAGTAGCTTAATGTTGGAATGAATATGCTATTAATAATCTGTCTCTTTGCACTCATAGTTATGCCTCGATGTCTTAATAATGGTGAAATTTTGTATATAAGTGCTCTTACTTTCTGACACACACACACACACACACACACACACACACACATATATATATATATATATATATATATATATATATATATATATATATATATATATATATATATATATATATATACATATAATTCAGTATTAGCTACATATTAATTTCATTTGATTTGATTTAAGAACCGACATCACAGCCCTCGGGGCATTCCCATAAGCGCCCCGTCCCCATCTTAAGTAGCCAGTGCAGAGTGCTAATACTAATGGTGCCGGTAGCATTCTGATCAAACGTCCGTCTTGCCTTTTCTCTGGGCCTCGAGCATCTGCCAGAACTTCTTGTCACTTTCCCCTGCATCAATCTCACCAGATACTCCCACATGGCACTAACCACGTGTGTCTTATTGTGTATCAGTATTCCGCCAAGTTGTGCAGAGCCAGCCAGTCTGTCCTCTGTTCATTTCCCAACACCCGGTGAAAAAACCCAGACAATACCCATCACACGTGTCCGCCGCAGCGAAGCATGCCACTCTACATGAAGCTTACCTGTCCTGATCTTCTTCAGCATGCTTTCTGTGTTAACTACATATAAGGTGTACAAACATATATGTCCGTTTTGAGTACTACATGTAAAGTATTAAAATGACTAATATTAAGAATAAATTCTAAATACCAGTTACATGACACAAATGTAAGCAACAAAGCTGATAACTATAACATGTTAAGTACTCAGTATAATGTGGGGTATACTATAAAAAATAAAATTTGTTATCGTGGTATGGTGCGCGTCGCAGGTCGACATAGCATAAAATGGGTACCAGGATGAATATCCTGGAAAAGAAAAAAAAAGGCCGGCGTAATGCTCACCACATTACCCACCTAGTGCCGATTGGTCGGGGGAAAAATGAGTGCTCTTCCCATATGCCCGATGCGCCTGAAAGGCGTGAAAAGGGATATTACCCTTTTTTTTAAATACTACAAAACAAGCACAGTCTTGTAAATATCTAATATTAGGTTCTGAATATCAAACATATAATTAGAAATGTGTAAAAATTCGTTATGACTAGGCGGCAAAGTCGTGATTAGGAAGAGTGCAGATTCAGAAGTTCAACAAATGATTCATGACATCTCTCGCTAAGGTGGTGTGAATCATGTTGAACGTTGATATTCCACTGTTCAAAAGCACGAATATGCCGTCTTGTCGTAGCGAAGTTCTCAAAGATTTTAATTATAAAGATGGCTCTGTGTTGACAGACGGGTGAAGTTCATTGGGGTTGGGGTTCTTAACAAAACCGAATGGACGTCGGTTAGTACAACGAAGCCTTGCACATGACACCATAACATCTAGTTTGAGAATGGAGGTGGAGGCAGTCACTGCAGACTTCCTCTGGCTCAAGAACCAACTGTACACACATCTTGTTATTGGAATCGACTCACAGTGCACGTGCAGATAGTGAGAGACTAGTGTGCTCGTGGCAAGCATCGCTTTTGATGTATTGGGCATATAGGGCCAGATCTATGTTTTATAGATCAATGGGCACCAAGTGGGTGATGTCAGCATCACGATCGTCGCCTTTACTTCCCAGGACTTTACCTGGTACCATGGGAACCAAGGTAAGTTTAAAAAAAAAATTCTGGTACAGTCGCAACCTGCACCCACAACCTTGGGATACGCGTCTAGCCACTACATCACGGCGGCTCCCGCTGCTCAACTGAGGCAGTTAAAATACTGTATTTCCTTCCTAAATCTGTTTCTAACCTCAGTCGACCCTTAATAGCAGGAGGTGATGAATTATGCAATTACAGAAATACAACATGAAGTATATATTTTTTAGAGCGAGCAAAACCAACTGGTCAACATTTACCGAAGATGGGAAATTGGATCAAGAAATTGACATAAGATGCAGTAAAGCAAACCAAGTATTGGGACAGCTAGCCCCCCTCTTACAGCATAAGACAATCCCAATCAGCACAAAGAGACATCTTATTCAAAGCATATTTATTCCAACTCTGTGCTACCAGTGCCAGACATGGTCACTCACAACAAACCATAAAAGAAAATTAGTAACCACGGAAATGAGATGTCTGAGAAGGGCTGTAGGAGTGACCATAAGAGATAAGATCAGGAATGAGATCATAAGAGAACAAGTCGGCACAGAACCAATTCTGGATTACATACAAAGACAGCAAGTGAAATGGTTTGCCCACTTAGAGAGAATGCCTTGTGACACCATACCATACAAAGCATACATGGAAAGAGAAGAAGAACGTAGAGCACGGGGTAGACCAAGAACAAGATGGAAGGATAACATCAGAGAGACTCTACAACAGCACGATGTGCCTATGGTCGAGGCAGCCAGAAGAGCTAGAAACAGAACCTTATATCTCTCTCGACACCCACAGCGGTAAAAGAGGAAGTGAAGAAGAAGAAGAAGAAACCAACTGGGAAGCACTGCATTAAGGCATGTGGGAAGAAGCTTGGACAGAGCAGATATCGTCAATGCTGTACGGACTGGGCTAGTGGATAATGACGAATCCCTGACACTAACACGATTGCGTGACATGGGAGTGAAGCATGGTGAAGCACGGCTATGCCGTTTTCCAGGCCGAGATAGGAGACAATATAACCAGCTTCTCATAGCAATAATTAGTAGAAGTACTTTGGAGTGGCTGTTGCATCAGAGGATTGAACACGCATGGGAATGCCCAATGTGCAGTGACGTCGATTGTAATAACATAACAAAGGATATAGCATATATATAACATAACACATATACTTGTATTTCAAGTGCAAGTTAGGATCTGTGCTAGCCGATACAGTTAAATTGATGAGGCCTCCAGACTTTATTGTAATCTCTTTGTCAAAATATCTCCGAACCTGGATGCGCTCTGCAAAATGAAAGAACATAAAGACTACTTTAGTTAACCAGGGACAGCATGTACATTTGCAGTCTGTCTTCTCTTTCTTCTTCATCCTCACTAGCTGCAAACTCTGGAAGAACGTTCTGGTTCTGGACTCGAGTCTTCTTCCAGATCATGAGAGCCGCGATCACATCAGTCTTACAGATCTGGCTTATTTGTATACTTTTGTGTGTGCTTATTTGGTTTCTTGCCTCCCAGGTAGACAATTCTGACTTCGAAGAAAGCTCTCAATAAGTCGACTCGTACAACATGCTTTTGGAGAGGCGATAGATCTATCTATCATAAGCCCATAATAATCTAGTTTCTCTCATGATTTCGTTACTGGTTTCCAAAGGGCCTTGATCACAACTTCCTTTTTATGTATTAATTCACCACCCAACGGCGCAGATCTAGCCAGTCTGTCTGCTCATTCCCCACTACGCCGACATAACCTGGAGAAAAAATTCAAACTATGCTCACTGCCCGTGACCTTCCAAGTGAAGCTTGCCACTCTGTTCGAAGCAATCATGTCTTCGCCTTTTTCAGCTTGCTTTCAGAGTCCGTAACAATTACAGAATGTGTATGTATCTTGTTCTCTAGCCATTCTCATGCTAGTTGTCGTTGTGTCATACGCCAGGCTGTCCTGCACTAAAGACTTTCTATTGGCTTTTGCTGCGAAACCCTAGGCACTTCTTTTACCTCTCAATACAGAACTAACTGTATAGATATTCAGATCATATGAGAGAGAATTGTCGTTTCTTTTGAGCAGACCATAATGAGATTGACGTTCTGTGAAGGACATGCTAGATAGTGATGATGATGAAACAACTTTTTTACTTGCTGCAACAGATGACCTTCTCTTCTTCTTTTGTCAAAATCTGCTTGTGCCGCTAGGCGTCGCAGTCTATCAGATGATCGGCAACCGAGCCAGGGCGCGCTCAGTAACTTCATATGCCGTGATGTTATGAAGTCTCAAGTTGTCCGTGACTCCTTCAATCCATCTTCTTCTTGGTCTTCCCCTGCCTCTTGTTGTTTCGATTTTCATGTTGTATGCTCTTGATGCTGGCATCGTTGGTTCAATTCTCATTAGGTGACCAAACCATTTCATTCTTTGCTTCTCAATAAATTTAACGATGGGTATGGTTCCAATAGTTCTTGTAATCACATCGTTTCTCACTCGATCTCTTCTGGTTTTATTCGCAGCCATTCTCAAACATCTCATTTCACAGGTGGTTAGTCTTCTCTCATGTTCTTTTGTTATTGTCCAAGTCTGACATTGATAACCTAATGTCGGTATAAAGATTGTATTTATAATTTGTCTTTTTATCTCAGCTGGGACAGCAGGGTGTTTTAAAATTGGGGCAAGCTGGTATGCGACATTGTTGGCTTGTTGGATTCTTGCTTCAATCTCTCTGTCTATTTTACCATTGGATGTAAAGATACTTCCCAGGTATTTAAATTCTTGCACTTGTTTTAGGCTGTGATCTAGAATCTTGATGTCGATGGTCTGTAGCTCTCTACTTATGCTCATGACTTCTCTCTTTTCAGTATTGATCTTCATATGATGCTTGAGGCAACTGTCGTGTAGTAGGTTCATGTGGTCTTGCAGCTGTTTACTATCACTGTGAAATATGCATTGATCGTCGGCAAAGAGCAGCTCATTGAAGTCCTCCTGTTTATCGACATCTGTTGGTGTTATGTCTATTTTATTAATATTGTCCATAAATATTATGTAAAGTAAAGGTGATAATACACAACCTTGTCTTACTCCTGATGTTACTGGGAACTAGATGACCAACATCTGCGAATTGTGTAGACAGAAGGACATGATTCTGACAATACGGTTTTCCTAGTAAAACAAACAAGCGGTGCGTTTAATAGTGTTCAAATTTGTACTTTAGTTATAAAGGACTCAGTTATTTGCTTCATTCATTTATTTGTTACTGTTGACAGCTATGCCCTGTAAAAAAAAAAAACTACAATGTTACAGAAACTTCTAGAGAAATTGAGTGCTTCAAACATTTGGCGTTCTTGGGACAAAGTCCTTCTGTCAGTATAAACAACGAACTAAATGCTGCATATCTGACATGGAAAATTGTACTGAAGACTGTACAGGACAGGAAAGCACGGAAAGCCCTCTCTGAAGCCTCATGTGCCATTCGACATCAGAAGAACTGATTCAGTATGTACCTGACGAGATACAGCGAAATATGCCAGCCACAAAATTGTGCAATCTATTGTGTCTGTTCAAATATACAAACGTGAAACGGTGTTGACGAGCAGAATAGACAAAGATGCCTAAGTGGTATATTTCCTGTTTAAAATATAATCAATATGGTCAAACTTACTGTCTCTCTCTAAAAATACTCTATTAACGTAGATCTCAGAACATGTTAGAAGAAAAAAAAGGAAAAAAAGAAAGACGAGCAAGAATGAGAAAAAAGGAAGGGAAGAAGAAGAAGAAGAAGAAGAAGAAGAAGAAGAAGAAGAAGAAGAAGAAGAAGAAGAAGAAGAAATAGAAGAAACAAAAACAGATGTTCGAGTACTGCTAAAAAGTCGAGACTTACTTAAAACAAAGAGACACCCATTAGCCCATGCAGGGAGGCACTCATTGTTCTCACAGGCGATTTCGCACTGAACACATCCAATGTGAGATTCTTTCTTTGCTTTTCTTATCGTTAGAGTAGCGTCATTATCACCGATGTTATACGTGCCGTTTGCTGATCAAAATTGTAATAAAGCAATAACTATATAGGGTTGAAATTGTAAATACCTGGAAAGATGACGATAGGATCAAATTCACTAAATAATAATAATTTAAAAAAAAAAAAAAACAGAATCGATGTGGCAACATGCCTTGTCATCATCAAGTGCCTTGCCGACTGGAGCGGGCGTTAATACCTCTCCACAATCTGCGACCTTGAACAGCATGTATCAGTTCGTGTGCTGACACCGCAACATGCCAAAACAAAAGACTTCAGAAGTTTCTCTCACTGTCTTCCTAGTCTCTTCTTTTTCCACGGATCTTTCCAGTGGTCACAACAAGTTCCAGTTTCCTTCTTCTCACTACATGACCAAAAAATTATGATTGTCTCCTTGTGATATTTGTGATAAGCTGTCATCGAGTCCACGCCTAATATAAAACATCTGGATTACTCTTCTTAGCTGTCCACGGATTTCTAAGAATTCTTTTGTAAAACCAAATTGTTTGACTATATTAATCGTCGAGGATTCACAGCAGTATTTTTAAAAAAATGGTTGCGGAAATTTGTTTCCTAACCTCCAATTTATTGCATTAAATGTTCCTTATTTTATAAAATGCCGTTGTGGCCTGTCCTATTCTGTTTTTTATCTTTGTGATCCATGTCGGATGTTTTCCATATGACTAGATTTATGTACTGTCCGAAAATACCGCCTCTGACTTTTTGTTGTACATGATTTTTTGTTGTAATGACTTTTTGTTGTACATTACTTTTTTTTGTTGTACATGACTTTTTGTTGTACATGACTCTTTGTTGTACATGACTTTTTGTTGTACATGACTTTTTGTTGTACACGACTTTTTGTTGTACATGACTTTTTATTGTAATGACTTTTTGTTGTACATGACTTTTTGTTGTACATGACATTTTGTTGTACATGACTTTTTTTTGTACATGACATTTTGTTGTACATGACTTTTTGTTGTAATGACTTTTTTTGTTGTACATGACATTTTGTTGTACATGACTTTTTGTTGTACATGACTTTTTTGTACATGACTTTTTGTTGTACATGACTTTTTGTTGTAATGACTTTTTGTTGTACATGACTTTTTGTTGTACATGACATTTTGTTGTAAATGACTTTTTGTTGTACATGACATTTTGTTGTACATGACTTTTTGTTGTACATGACATTTTGTTGTACATGACATTTTGTTGTAGATGACCTTCTGTTATACATTAAAGCATGAGTCTTTTCTTAGAAATCACCATTACTTCTTTTTGTCCATCACTTTCTACCGCCACAGCATGTACGAATGCCCGCAGTTATGTCTCTATGAAGACTGCGTCATTAGCGTAACGGAGGTTGTTTATGTCATGACCACCAACCACAGTTCCCAGCATATGTATGCCTTTATCACACCCCCTCCCCTCCCTTCCAAAAAAAGGAAGAAGAAGAAGAAGAAGAAGAAGAAGAAGAAGAAGAAGAAGAAGAAGAAGAAGAAGAAGAAGAAGAAGAAGAAGAAGAAGAAGAAGAAGAAGAAGAGAAGAAGAAAGAAGAAGAAGAAGGTTGTGTAATCATTGAACTGATAATATCTGTCAAGGTTTCGCAAGCTTATCAGGGGTGCCGATATATATATATATATATATATATATATATATATATATATATATATATATATATATATAAATATATATATATATATATATATATATATATATATATATTGTGGAAAGGGGAAACGTTAAGTCCTCTTAAAATTTTTCTAGGCAGAGTGGACTGTCATAAAAGTCTTGTTTAAGTGCATAATAATAAGGATAGCAATAATTATGATAATAATACTATTAATATCGTGATGAATAGCAAATGGTACGTATATTAATATATCTGCAGTAACTACATGGTTGTGTGTTGGTGTTTTTTTTTTTTTTTTTTTTTTTTGGGGGGGGGGGGGGTCGAGGGGTGAAGCTTTAACTTTCTCAGATTGTGTAGAGGATTAATTTGTTTTTTGAAAGGGGTGTGGGAGGGGGGTTTGGGGAGATTTTTCCCCCAGGTTCTGGCTTTCCTGATGAGAAAAAAAATATAACATGACTAAAGTGGTTTATCGGAGCCATCAGGCGACAACTGGGTTGATTCACTTGCTATCAATCAGAGAAGAGCCGTCAAATCAATCAGAAAACTGCAGATTCTAGTGCACAATAATTATCATATCACAGAAAGAGAAATAGGAGAGCAAGGGAGCTGTGTGCATCCCACGATAGGGAATAATTAGTAGCGCAGCCCCAAGTGTATTCATAACTTAGACAGGGAAGATTTGGGTAGCACAGTCAATTATTTAACAAATTCCTACTGGATTCCATTTGGCTGGCTCTGCACAACTTGGTGGACTATTGATACATGATAAGGCAGACGTGGTGGTAATGGATATATGGGAGCACGTATACACTCTGTAACAGCAAATTGTTCATCACAGTTACTTGTTATTCGCTGGCCATTGAAGTACCACACTGGACGGTTGACTGAAAGTTCATTCAAGTTTGATCTGCTTTCACATTTGAAAATAACGTCACTCTCTTCTAGGGCTACTTTATCTTTAGGCGCAACGGTAACGAATCCTGGCCAAGCTGCGAGAGTAATAATAATAATTATTTCACACAAACACCTTTTCTCTTACTTGTGATTCTGCTGTTGCTACAACTAATGATATTCGACTTGACTGCTAACATAACATTTGTATTTATGAGTGTATATGTGTAGGTGTGTATGTGTTTTTTTATGTGTATTGAATTGGACACTTAGGTCCATCCAGACTGACGCGTACCATAAAATCTTCTAGAAATGTTATTACTCTTCTTCTTCTTCTTCTTCTTCTTCTTCTTCTTCTTCTTCTTCTTCTTCTTCTTCTTCTTCTTCTTCTTCTTCTTCTTCTTCTTCTTCTTCTTTTCTTCTTCTTCTTCTTCTTTTCTTCTTCTTCTTCTTCTTCTTCTTCTTTTTTCTTCTTTTCTTCTTCTTCGTCTTCTTCTTCTTCTTCTCTTCTTCTTCTTCTTCTTCTTTCTTCTTCTTCTTCTTCTTCTTCTTCTTCTTCTTTCTTCTTCTTCTTCTTTCTTCTTCTTCTTCTTCTTCTTCTTTTTCTTCTTTCTTCTTCTTCTTTTCTTCTTCTTCTTCGTCTTCTTCTTCTTCGTCTTCTTCTTCTTCTCTTTCTTCTTCTTCTTCTTCTTCTTCTTTTCTTTCTTCTTCTTCGCGTTCACCGGCTGTAAACTTACTCTTTTAGTTCTGGTTGTTCACATACTTTTGGACTTTAGTCTAGTTCCTAAACTGCAATTGGGTGTGCAAATCTGTTTTACAGATCTGTTTATTTTTATCCAGACTCGCAGTTCCTCGCCTCTGAGGCGGATTACTTCGGCTTTGAAGAAAATATTCCTAATAATCACCTCTAACGACATGCTTGAAAATAAATCGAAGAGTTTATGACCTCCCCCCCCCCCCTCCTCCTCCCCCCATCCTAAGGACGCAGAGCACACACGGGATTCCGGTAATTAAAAAGATACCGTGGGAGACTGATCGTGCCAGAAGTTGAGTCAAGTGTCCGTAGTAGCAGCAACAACAGTAACAGTTGCAGCATCAGTAGTGGTAGTAGTAGTAGTAAATGTAACAGCAGCGGCAGTAGTAGTAGTGGTGGTGGTGGTGGTAGTGCTAATAGCAGCAGCAGTCGTAGTAATAGTATTAGCAGCAGAAGGAGTACGACTGGAAGAAGAAGAAGAAGAAGAAGAAGAAGAAGAAGAAGAAGAAGAAGAAGAAGAAGAAGAAGAAGAAGAAGAAGAAGAACAACAACAACAACAACAACAACAACAACAACAACAACAACAACAACGACAACAACAACAACAACAACAGCAACAACAACAACGACAACGAGACGACGAAATTAATAGCCTCACAAAGAAAATCAACAAGAGCATACAATCTTACACGACCTTCCTCACACACTACATTACCTGTTACGGTGACTTTCACGTCACTGTGTGCTTCTCCTGCCGAAGTATTGGCCACACACTTATAGGTCTGAGAGTCCGACATCATGATATTGTAGATTGTTAGCCTTCTGCCATCATTTGACACTTGGTACTTTGTGTTTGTTGGCAACGGCTGGTTATTAGCATCAAGCCAGTACTGAAATGGCGTTCCGTTGGTTGCGAGATCGCTGAAATAATTTAAACAATATATTACCATAAGTAAATACCCTCCTGTAACAAGGATTACGTCATAAACTGCGTATTAAAGACATGGGGATGTGTGTAAACAAGTATATCTAGTAACCTGGGCTCCCACTTACAGAAAAGGGTATTAATTTATTGATTCATAGTTGAGCAAGACCTCTACCCATTTACTCGAATCCTATTTTTCTTTAGGTCCTCATTTACGGCTTCGGGTGTCGAAGGAGATTCAAGGTCCTGTTTGGTGCTCCTCTGGCCGCTTTGACCATAGACACATCGTAGTGTTGTAGAGTTTCTCTAATGTTATCTTCCCATCTGGTTCTTGGTCTGTCTCTTGTTTTACGTCATTTTCCTCTTTTGGTAAATACCTTGTATGGTATAGCATCAGAAGGCATTCTCTCTAACAGGTAAAAACCTTTTGATTTGCTGTCTTTGTATGTAATGTAGAACTGGTTTTGTGCCGACTTTATCTGGTATGACCTCATTCTGCATTTGTTCAACCCTCAGTCTTTCACAGACACCTCATTCCCACCTTATTACTTGAATTCTGGTTTCAAAAACAGCATGTTTTCATAGTTACAGAAAACTTCACGGGCCCAGGCGGGAGGGAAAGTTAACGACGTTGTGAAGTAAATTAGGACATACTCCGTACCTGACCTCGGGTGCCAGCAGGCTCTATGCTGGTTTTACAAATCCTTATTCAAGACTCCCACAACACGTCCCCGTCGTGCGCTACAAATAATAGCCCATATTTGTGACCTAAACCGAGCTGGCAAGGACCAGGAATTGGTGGTCCAGAGATATAGTCTCCAGTCGGGCTCTCATCAGTGCACCCCCCCCCCCCCTATTTCCAATACATGGGTGAAACTATCAGAACTCACTTGGAGCACGAGTAAAGCCCGCTAGTTGGATGTATTACTAAATGACAACTCTCGGTTAAAAGGTCTGTTGAGTGAAAGAAGAGACAGAGCAAAGACCTAGAGATAAATTTGCAACTTAGACTAGTTTTAAAAAAAACTTGTGCTGCTGCTGCTGCTGTTACTACTACTACTACTACTACTACTACTACTACTACTACTACTACTACTACTACTACTACTACTACTACTACTACTACTACTACTACTACTACTACTACTACTACTACTACTACTACTACTACTACTACTACTACTACTACTACTATTAAATATACTTTTACTTCTTTTTCTTTTTCCTCTTCTTCTTCTTTTTCTTCTTCTTTTTTTCTTTTTCTTCTTCTTCTTCTGCATTTTTTTCTTAATTTTCTTGTTCTTGTTATTGTTCTTCTTCTTCTTTTTCTTCATATTCTTCTTCTTTGCGTTCAGTGGTGTTGAACACCAGTGGAAAGTTCTGGTTGTTGGACCACTTCTGGGCGTTTGACTTTCTCTAGAACATCAGTTTTCCGAGCACCTCTATTTTTATAATTATTGCTTACTTGTATACAGCCGGCACCCTCTCAGACAGATGCACTCCGACTACGAAGAAAAATCTCTTTTTAGTGTCCTTCTACTACCCGCTTAATAGCGGGCAGTGGGCCTGTTATTTTCCCCCTCATACGGAGAATCATCATCACCATCAATAAGCAGGTCTTTCACAGAACATCGCTCTTTTCTCCCTTTCTCTAGCCAAATCTCTAGCCCTGTGTGCTTTCGTGACCAATGCATCTTTTATGTCCTGTATCAACCTTCATGGAGGTAGGCCTTTGCCTTTTTCTCCGGAAACTGTCACCTCCATCACCTTTCTCTCCAAATGAAGAAATACGTACATTGAAAAAAAAAAGTACTTGTACTTACAATCCTGAAAAGACACACTCAAGTTCGGCTGTGAAAGTTGACGTGGTCCTGATTTGGGAGAAAGTGTATTTACACTCTGGTTTCGTGCTGCTTGGGACGGCTAAGAGAATTATAGTTATATTGGTACAGTGTGGATATAGGAGATGATAATTAGAAACAAAGATAATGAAATAATTTTAGTGTTCTTAATAATCGCATAGGTATTTGTCAGCTCAGATTTCTTCTTCTTCTTTTTCATCTGTTGTTAATCTAATTTAGGTTGCAAATATTTGCTTCACTTTTCTCAGCAAGACAAAGTGAGGTTACATTGTCATGTTTCATATCTAATTGCTTTTAGCGTTTATGTATGTTGGACGTATCAAAGCAATACCAGTATGTGTTAACTTTCCCTAGCCAATTTTACGTTTATTAGTTTGCCATTGCTTTCGACCGATTCGATGCTCTTACCAGTGTCGAAATAAGCACAAAGCGATCTGTTTCCAAATCGTCCCCAGCTACGACGAACGCGATTCTGTTGAAATTATGAAACTGCATTCATAGGCCTTACACCACAGATGCTGATACCAAAGATACATCGTACGGATTGACAGTATAATACTTCAGTCGCCGTTAGACTGACGTAGGTATAAGGGCGTCTTGTCGTCAAAGGCAACCGTCAGTCCCTGGAGAACATGGAGTTGTGCCGCTGGTTGGGGAACATCATCTACTATGACTGTAGAGTCCAATGTCGGAGTTGCAGTCTCTGCCACATAGTCCACACAAAAACGTTGAAAATGTATCTTCTGAGGCTGGTTTTCTTCCAGACATCTCCTCTCTACAGCGTTTGGCCTCTTCAAAACTGCCACAACTCGTCTCTTACTGTCTGCCTCCAGAGGAGCTGGACTGCAGCTGATCTCTCCCAAGTGTCTGTGCTAATGTTAATTGATATCTTTCAGGCTGAGTTTGTATATGTTCTTGTAGCATAACTTTGGCATTCCTGTTGATCTTATCGCTGTTATCAGTTCTCTCTACAACAGTTCCTGTGGAATGCAGTCATCATCCATGCGAAAGACATCTCCCAGTCAAACAGGCATCTTTGCTTCAATAGAGAATACATTGCTGGTATTCTTGCTCTTCTGAGTATGCATTTACTGGGGACAGTCTCGCCATGATATACCAAGAATGTGTCTTTTATAAGACATGTGGAAGGTATTCCATCTTTTCTTGGGGAGCATACAGAGTCCAGGTTTCACTGCGGTAAAGGAGGCAAAAGCTTCATAAACTTTAATTTAGTTCTATCCATAAGCAACTTGTTTGACCATACTCTTGTTGTGAGTTTGGAAAGCACTACACAAACCTTTCATATTTGTCTGTTTATTTCTGCATCTAGGGAAAGAGCGTCTGCGATTCGAGAGTCTATGTATTCAAATTTATGTACAACCAACAGGACATGAATTAAATGGTATGATAGAATCACTAATGCAGAGCTTTGGTGGAGAACTGAGCAAGCTCCAGTGGACCAAGAGGTGAAGAAAAGACGCTGGTGTTGGATATGAATAGGACATACATTGACAATACCGGAGAACAATATCACCAGAATGTCTGTGCATTGGAACCCACAGGGGTGTAGGAAAAAAAGGGGGCAAAAACACATGGAAAAGGGAGCTGGAGAATAAAGTTAGAAAGATGGGAGGGACTTGGGAAGAGCTGCATACTATAGCAAAGGATAGAACGACTTGGCGTGAGTTAGTTGACGGCCTATGCTCCATTAGGAGCTAGAAGGGCAGAAGAGATGAACCAGGACTTAGATATCGTTGGTTATGCTTATTATTACTTATGCAATGGTATCTAATAATAATGGCATCCGTCAGTCCCGGGGGACTATGGAGATGTGCCGCTGGCTTTGGGAACAGCATCTGCTGTGACTGTAAAGTCCGATGCGGGAGTGGCAGTCTTTGCCACACAGGATACACACAAAAGCAGATACTCCCTCGTTGTGAGGCAGTTTTACTCTCCGGTGCCTCCTCTCCACAGCTCGTTGTGTTCGGTTTCTTTCAAAATGTGACAGTCCATCTTTCACTTTCTGTCTCCATAGTAGTCGATCTGCAGCTGATTTTTCCCATGTCTCTGTGCCTATGTTGGTGTCTATTAGGTCACGTTTGCAAACATCTTTATAGCGCAGCTTTGGCCTTCCTGTAGGTCTATTCCCAGTTACCAATTCACCATATAAGAGATCTTTTGGAATACGACCATCCTCCATGCGGGAGACATGTCCCAGCCAGCGCAGACGTCTTATGGTATACGACATAAAATACCGGTAACATGGAGTAACACCAGTTTTTAACCATTTCAAAATAAAACTTTTTTAGCTTTGGTTATTTGACTCCTGCAGCCCATTCAGACACACGGACTTACCAGACACTTTTTTTTAACCTAGGGGGCTTGCAATAAGATCACAGAGAAGCAATAGTTAGATAGGTGCTTGGCTTATGGGTGGGGAGGGGTGTCAAGTTTAACCAGCATCCACAAAGTATCAGCTTTGGGTTATAATTGTTACATGGTTATATGCGCCGTGTGAAATAGCTTGACATTGCGCGCCACCAAAAGCCATGAAAAGGAATCCTGCAGTGTTGATGTGATCAAAGGAGACGAAGTCGTCTACTGGCCAGCCACTGGGCGACTCTGTCGCTGATACACAAAGAAACAAAAGCCTGTTTTAGTATTTATAGAATAAGGTCGGCTAAGGTGGCGGCTAAGTATGGTGCAATGGAAAATAAAAGCAGAAAAGGGAGGAGGGTGAGAAGAGAAAAAAAAATAATTTTAGAACAATAATAGCAACAGTAATAAGAAGAATGAGAATGATAACAAACAGCTGCATGAGAAGAACAACAACAACAAAAAAAAACGAATAAGAACAACAATAAGGAAAACAAGAAGAAGAACAAAAAAAAACAATGGGGTTAAGAATAAGAAACGCAAAAATTAAGAACAATAAGATTAACGATGACAGCCACAAGCTACACCTATCGTGTGTCACTGACCGGAGTTTGCGCTGACATTGAATTTGGTTATGGAGCTGGTTCTGCTGACGAGAAGGTTTCCCAAACGTGTGGATATCACGCAGAAAAAGCCCTCAGTATTTTCGTCCATTTGCAAAACGTACGTGAAATGAAGATGCCCTGCAGAATAAGGTATCAAAGATTGCTGTGAAAGGAAGACACAAACAACAGGTTGCACAGTTTATAACCTGGGATATGGCAACAGCCGCGATGTCGCAGCTCAGTCCTCGACTCTCACTCAGTCACTGATTGGAGCTTTTGAACTGAAATGTGTTAGAAAAAGTCTTAGAACATCATGGATCAAGAAAAGGAAAAACATCGACATTTTTAACGAGTTGAACATTATGGACAAATGGCTCATAAACAGCATCCTGTCCCGAAAGTTAAAGCATTTTGGCCACATTAAACGTCATGGTGGCTTGGAGAAGACAGTACAGTTTGTGGAAGGCGAGGCAGGGGTCGACCACTGCGAATATGGATGAAGGAAATTGAAGAACCATTGGAAGTGAAAGCACATGGGGCCGGAGAGCTGGCTAGGGAAAGAGATACTCTCAGGCACTGGACTCACAATAAATGGTAATGGCGATTGTGACTAGCCGTTAAGAAAAGTCTTCCACAATTGTAGCGTGAGATTTGAGCACCCTCGTTGTCAACATTTTTGTTTAGTGTCTTTCTTCTCAGTACAATTCAGTTTGCCGCGGTAGGTAAAGTAAATCAGTTCTCAAAGCTCTCAAGGACGCAGGACGAGAAGATGATTCAGGAGACGACCTAGAATCGGCAACATTCAAAAGACTACAAGAACTTCAGATCAAAAAAGGTGTCACCAAATACGAACACTATACAGGTAGTCGAAGAAGAATAGTAAACTAACACAGAGCTAGTGGTATCAATCGCCACATGCTGGGTGATATGCTAAAGATTGGATCCGAGCGCCTATGGACTTGTCCGATCTTCATTGAGGATAATCTTTCGATCAACTATCTTCAATACAGTTGCAGGAATCTTCTTTGAAGTATGAGAGTCTTGGCTGAGACAGGTTTTTGACAAATTATTCGTTTTCTCCATTCGTATGTAGATTTCTTTGCGTCAGACTGTAGCGCTGCGAAGAATGAGTATTGCAAACGAATTTGGAAGGGCGTTGCTTCTAGGATCAACTGGATGCCTTCAATGCTCGCTGATTACTGTTCAGCTGTGACAAGAGACACCTCATCAATTGACTTCACGAAGTGGGCAAAAAGAGCTTGAGCAGCAACTGAATAAAGACGTAATAGGCTGTATTGTGCCTGTTTGAAACATTAAAGGTGAACTTTAAATAATGTTTTCTTTTTTGAGTTTATTTTATGTGGAAATATCAATTAATTTAATATGCAGTCACAATTTTTGCAAAATAATAATAATAATAATAATAATAACAAACCGTTACTGTCGTTAAGCGTTGTGGGGAAGAATAATTTGCGATCCAGTACGCGCTGGCTGCCACTGACTATTGTCATGCCGTGATGGCGTAGTGTCTTTTATGTTGTCGATCGAATTTTTTGCGGCCGTCCTCTTGCTCATGATTTTCTGAGATGTAGTGATTGTGATGGTATCTGATCTTGCTGCATTTTAACGATATGGCAGTACCACCTGTTTTGCTGTTTCTTGACGAATCTAGTACAATGTGTCGTTTCCACGATTTGTCTGACTGTCATTATTCACTCGTTCTCTGATGGTTAGGGTGGCCGCTTTTCTCAGGCATCTCATCTCGCAAATAACTTTAAATGGTGTCCATGTTTGGCACTGGTAGCTTAATGTTGGAATGAATATACTGTTTATAATCAGTCTGTCTGCTCTCATAGTTATGCTCAGATGTCTTAATAATGGTGACAACTGGTATATAAGTGCACTTGCTTTCTGACATCTGGTTCCTATTTCTCTGTCAATTCTACCATCTTCCATGATCATACTTCTAGTATAATGGTTAGTTGCGTATCCTTTACAGGACGTTGCAGAACCAACCCCAACAGCGCCTGGCTGTTGTGTGGTTTTTCTAGGCAAATTTACGTCCAGTAGTTTGCCATTG